CTACTCAGATAATCTCAGGACTTGGGGGAGATGGGGTTGGAGGATCACGAGTATGAGCCAACTGTGGGCAACTTAGTGACTCAGTGAGAAACAGTCCCAAAAATGAAAGCTAAGAAGAGGCTGGGGGAGGAGCTCACTGTGATAGGCCTTGGGTTAAATCTGCAGTAACACACACACACGTGCACGCACACACACGGACACACAGGTACTTCCTGTTTTGCATCATGTGAGGGCACAAAGTAAATGTCGTCCATGAGGACCAGTCCCTTGCTAGGTGCAGAATCTGTGGACACCTTAGTCTTAGATACCCCAGCTTCAGAACTGAGCACGGCAAGAACGGGATGGCTGTTTTAGTCATTTGCTGAAACCAAATTCCCAGCATCCAAAGTTAAAAGAGAAGAGGTTTATTTTGGCTCCCAGTTTGTAGAGGTTTCAATTCATAGTTGGCTGGCTCCAAGGCCGGGTGGCCTGGCAGAGGAGAAACAGAGCACGGCAGACGGACGACAGCAAAACAGGGAATCGAGAAGCAGCCCCAGCAAGCGGCGACAGCAGCCCTGGCTCTGCCGCCTTACAGCCTACGCAGACCACCCACCTTGGGCAGGTAAAAGTTCTGGGAAAGAGGGAAGGCAGGAGGGAGGGGTAGGGGGAAGGAGGAAAGATGAAGGGAGAGAGGAAGGAAGGAAGGAAGGAAGGAAGGAAGGAAGGAAGGAAGGAGGGAGGGAGGGAGGGAGGGAGGAATTGGGGCTCCCTGACCATCCCTCCCCAGGAAGACTCAGCTGACAATCTTTCCCTCTCACCGCTTGTGAGATGTTCCGATAAAATAAAATTTGACACTAAACTAAACTGCAATACGAAAAGAGATGGTGAATTTCACGCAAACAGCGCACTGATTTAAATCTGTGGAAAGGCCTGAGCACGGTCAGGTTTCGAATCTCCAGGGTGATTCCCAGGTGCAGCCAGGCTTGCGGAAAGTGGAGGTGAAGTCCGCGGCCAGTCCACTCTCACTGCCCTGAAACACGCCACCAACCACACTCACCCCCCACAGCACCCACGACTCTCTCTCTGGGGCGCTCCCATTACATGATTGCACAAGGTGCTGTCCCTCGGTCTCCTAGCATCTTTGTTCTTGGCCCGCTCCTGTCTCTAGCTTCTGTCTCCTTCCCCTCCTCCTCTGGAGAAAGAGCCCAACGAAAGGGACTGTCTGCCCCTGTCCCCAGCTCCTCCATCACTCAGCAGTGCCTGCATTCCTCCTTCCAGGGAGGCCGCCTTCTCCAGTGACCTGCAGTGGCCTTCCTCAGGCCTTTGCTGTTGGCAAAGCATCCCTCTCCCTCCCGAGCCCATTCCTCCCCTTGGCCCTCACAGGAGACCCAGTTTGCTGCGTGCCCCGCCTTGTGTCCAGCTCTGGTCCTGCAGTGCGGGCACCACTGCTCTTCCTTCAGGGTGTGGGGCACAGCCCTGGCTGTGGCATCTGCAGCTCAAGTTCCTCTACAGGAGCCCCTTCCCTCAGGCATCCTCCCCCACGTCCGGGCTCTTCCCTTCCTCTTCCGGAGAACTCCTATACTCCTGCAGTGCTCAGGCTTCCTGGCTGCCCTCCCTCTCCTGTCTTCCCCTTTAAGAAAGTCTAAGGGAGGCTTTGTTTTGTCCCATTTGCTGTGTCCTCAGTGCTTGTAACATATCCGCCCATAATAGGTGCCAATTGTTATTCCTACACATCTCGTAAGGAAATGTATGTCCTAAAGGTGCTCATTATTCATTTACTCTACCACTGGGTACTTATCATTATTATGTTTAACATTTTGGTTTAGAATAAATTACAAAGTTTCCCAAAAGACTGTCTTAATTTCAAGATAAACATCATAAAAATACATTGCTTTCTCTTATTTTTTTTTTTACTATGAAATTTTTGTGCCCATTTTGTTAGGTTCATATGAACTAAGGGGTCACTTAGCCAGGCGCAGGGATGCCTGCCTACAATCCCTCGGGAGGCAGAGGCAAGAAGACCTCCGTGATTTACAGCCAGCCTGAGTTACACAGCAAGGCCCACTCTCAAAGACAAGAAAGCAAACAGAGAAACACATTGTGCAGCTGCATGGGGGGAGATGATAGACCCCCTAGGCAAGCTGGTGTCACTCGGCTGCTTCTCCCCTCATCCTCTCCTTACCTGGTTAGTAAGACTCATGGATAAATAATAGAAACGTATTCTCATTACCAACGCTGTCCATGCATTACACTTCCATTCATATCTCCTCTGTCAAAACACAAAATCCCACCCCATCGCTTCAGGGACTGAAGGACCGTATAACATGCATAGACCTTAATACAAGGGACAGTTACAGGAAGCAAATTTTATAGGGCGTTTATAAAACGACAGATGCTTTGTTAAGTGTTGCGTCATACAATCCTCATGGCAGTTCTGAGATGTGACTAATTGTTTCTGTTACACTTATGAAAAGGCAAGTTTTAAGAAAGCGAAGTTCCTTCCATAAATGTCTTGTGATCTTATCTTGCTTATTTTCTGCAACCCAGCTATCTCCGGGTGTCTCGCTGTTTTAGTGTGCATTTTTTAATATAGATTGATGCTATATTTATATAGATTGATCTATATTTATATAGATTTATATAGATTGATGCTATATTTCTTATTTTATAAATTATTTGTGAATTGGGCTTTTCTGCTGAGATTTACCTTTTTTCCTTATACCCAAAGAAACCTTAATGTTTGAACTATTAATCTCATGAAATTTTTCTTCTAGCTTGTTTTTCTTTTTTTTTTTTTTTTTAATTTTTATTTAAGGAGAAAAGAAAAGAAAGGAAAAAAAAACAGTGAAGGGGTACAAGTTATACAGATTTACAGAATAAAAAAATGCGCAGTAGGAAATCACTAGTTAATGGATTACATATTGCCATCTTAGAAATAATTGTTTAAGTCACAAAATTAAAGCTTGTAGAGTGGACATTCCAACAATGATACTGCGAACAGTTCTGTTCAATGATCCAATAAAACTCTGTGATATCATTTTCTATCTTATACATTTAAATATACATGCAGTTATATAGTTTAGAGCACTTTCTTTTCCTCTCTTTTGTACAGTGACTATTACACATTTTGGGTTTCATTGCTCCCACGGTTCTTGTTGCTTTTTTGGAAGAGAGTAAAACCAAATGTGACATAACAGAACAGAATCAGTCAAGTCAAAAGGGTGGACATAATAGATAATATAAGAACATAATACAAGGTGATCAACAATGGTTACCATAATGCCTCCTGCTATCTCTAATAGAATTGCCTATATCATTAGTTGTAATACAATTGAACAAAACCGTAAAGAATAAAACCGACAAAACCAAAACATTGGAGATATTGTAGGTCTTCAAAAGTAGATAAAAGTCAACGAGAATGGGCGTTATAATGAATCTCATTATCTTCTCAGCTGATGTCTAAACTTTCGAACCTGATACTATCCAGCAAAACAGAATAGAGGAACCTCAGTCAAAAACAAGATGGTGAGAGTAATACAGGGCTTCAAATCGAAATAATAGAAAGTCAAAGTGGGTTACTATATTATATCCTGCTATATTTTTCCCTTTAATTAAATGGATAAAAATAAAAAAGTAAATAATGGAGTGGAGATTGAGAAAAAGGAGGGCATAACAGCGAAACAGGGCAGATCAAAACATAACCATTTAAGCAGAATAGTGTTTCACCACCAGCTAATCCTGACCCAAAAATAGTTACCATATTGACTCCCTCCCTGAAGTCCTTGAGTACAACTTCATATACTGTAGCATTAAGTATATCAAAACAATGTAAATCCATTTAAGAGAATGACAGCATTATAGAGTATTTAGAATCGACTAACAGAAAATGAACAATGGTCTCTGTATAATCTCCTTGTCTTTAAAAGGTTTTTTCTTATACTATCGTACATAACAAAATCCAATAAGATACAACCTGTTTAGACCATTGGAGACAGAAGAACAAAAGCTAGATGAGACTTCAAAACAAGATGGTACTAAATCAGTATTACCTATTAAGATGTCATTTTCTCAAAAAAAAAAGCTGTTCCTATCATCCAATCTTCTGTCTCATTTCTGTTGAGCTCTTTTTCTGTCAGTAGCTGTCAGTTTGTCTTCTTCATTTTGTTCTCTGCTCCATTCATTGTGGCCTCCCCGCCCCTATTTCTGGGTTCTTTGTATTTTTCTTTTTTTAGAATATCCTGCAATACTTTCTGTAGGGTTGAATTGGTGGTTGCAAATTCCCCCAGTTCCTCTTTATCCTGGAAGCACCTCGTGTTTCCATCAATTTCCAGGGACAGTTGTGCAGGATATCTCAATCTTGGCTGTAGATTATTATCTTTCAAAGCTTGAATTATTTCTCCCCATGCTCTTCGTGATTTGATGGTTTGTGAAGAGAAATCTGCTGTAATTCTGATGGGTCTTCCCTTGTAAGTGATCTGTTTCTTGTCTCTTACAGCTTTTAATATTCTGTTCTTGTATTGAATTTCTGGAATTTTTATTATTATATGCCTGGGTGTTTCTCTGTTAGGGTTGTAGGTAGCTGGGGTCCTGTATGCCTCATACATTTGAGTATCTTTACCTTTTGCTAAATTAGGAAAATTCTCCTGGATTATTTCTGTGAGTAGCTTTTGTAGTTCACTTGTTTGTGTCCCTACTTCTTCTTTTATGTTCTTAATCCTTAAGTTATGGCTCCTCTTATCATCTTCTTGTCTTTGTATTATTGCTGTGTTTCTTTGTTATTTTTAAGAAGTTTTTCATTTCATTCTCCCATGTTTCAAGTCTGCCCTCCAATTCAGATAGTCTGTCCTTAGTTTCTTTCAAGCTGTTATGCCAGTCTTGGGTAGACTTCTTAATTTCTTGATAGTCCCTTTGCACCTGCTTCACACACTCAATGCTTTCTCGGTTTTCTCCATCAAGCAATTCTCCCCTCTTTTTCTGTTCTTCCATTCCACCATCCACTTTTTCCTGGGTGGTGCTTAGCATTTCTCTAACTATTCTGCATACTTCTAGCTTCAGGTCATTGATAACTTCATTCCTGAATTGGTCTATGAGGCTCTCTAAATGGCGCTTAATGTATAATGGTGCAGTGTCCACAATTGCCTGATTCTCAGGATTGGGGGTCGAGGAGCCTTTTTTGTTGCTTCCCTTCCCCATATTTTCTGTTCCTTATAAAATGTAATCTTACACAGGAGGCCCGGCTTCCCTGCCTGCCAGCCACAGCTTGATCAAATTGCGCTGGCTAGTTGTTCCCGCTCACCGCTGCGCCCCAGGGAGTTGCGGAGGAGGCAGCCTACGCGGGAGTCGGTCGCTCCTCCGGGCCACCGTCAGGCTCTGGGATCTGGGCTAGGCCAGCCTAGGGAGTCCGCGAGCAGCGTCCCTCCGGCCAGGCACCTTTCACCAATCCCGTCCGAGAGGGAAATGTGCGGCTGCAGTTGCCACCACGCCCTGCTCTTACAGGACTGCCCGCGCCCAGAAAAACCTCCGCTGGAGTCAAACTGCGGTAGGGAGTCAGTTCCTCGCTCACCTCGCCACCAGTCAGCCTTCCTCCCTGGCCGTCGCGTTTCCGACTCCGTTCGCAGATTCCCGTTCCCAAGCCTCTGCGCGTCTCTCCTTGCCGAGCCGCTATGGAGGTAGCCGGGCGCCTGGCGGCGGGAAATCTAAACCGCGGTTTCCGATGGCGTGGGGACTCCGTTTGGAGACTCCCGTTCCCAGAGCTCGGCGGTCGCGTCTCTCCTTGCTGAGCCGCTGTGGAGGTAGCCGGCCGCCGGGCGGCGGCAGGAAATACAAACCGCGGTTTCCGATGGCGCGGAGTCGAGTCTCCACACCGAGATTTTTCTGTTCCTATTTTAGCGCCAGGACTGTATTCCAAGTTGGATTCTCTCAGCCCAGTTCGTTCCTGAGTCAGCAGAGCATATCTCTACTGGTTCGTATCTCCTTAGTCCGCATCATTCCTGGCCTCTGAGCCGAGCCTTTAGAGAGCGTTCAGAAGTTGCTGTTGTCTGTCCGCCATGTTCTCCCGATCTCTCTAGCTTGTTTTTCTTTATATGCTCAGATTTCATCACTGAGATGAAGATTTTCACTTGGATGTGGTCAGATCTCTTCTTGGTGGCTTCTTGCTTTGTGCCCAAAATCATAATCACTCAACATTTTATTTATCATGTTAGTTTTATTTTTTAATTAAAATGTTTAGTTCTCCTAAATTGTATGTATACAATAATGAGGTACAGATTCAAGTTTGTTTAACTATTAGCCCTAACTCAGTAATATTTATTGACTCTATATTTTATCCAATGATTTGCACTTTTCCACTATGTTATTCTCAAGAACTTTCTGGAACTGCTGCTTACATGATCATGGTTGGTGTCTTGCTTCAACAAGTAATTTAATAACTGCAAGCACTAGGGTCACCCCTTCCACATTTCCCTTCATTAAAAATACTGTGGCTACTTTCCTGTATAGATTCTTTTCAAATATGTAGAGAGAATTAACTTTCAGTTTGAATTTATAGAATAATTTAAACTGTTTTCTTTTCAACTTAGAGTCTTATGAAAATGTGTCTTTTATTTACTACAATCTTTTAGAGATATTCACATCATTTTTTAAAAAGTATTTTCGTTTTCTCCCTATAAATTTGTAGAGCTTTCTCATTGCTCTTGGAAGTGGAGTCTTGATTTCTCTTTTACTGTCTGCATCGTTCCTGCAGACAGTGAAGCAGGTGGCTAGTGACAGCAGCTGTGATGAGGGGTGGGAAACCCTGAGAATCTGCACACACGCTGTCTGGAACAGAAATTGGAAGCAACTGTGCTGTCTAGAGAAGGTGAAGACACACAGGATGCTCCCTGGTTCCTGGTGCAAACCTCAGATCCCTGGGGGACAGAGGGACACCCACACATGCAAAAAGGAAAGATGCACAGGGATGCTCGTGGCAGCAGGTGATGGAGGAAGTTGAGCTGGTGCACAGGAAAACCCACATCCAGGTGATGCAGTGTGCACCCCACATGGCCTCTCAGCTGAGCCCCAAGGGTGATGCTGCATCTCCGTGCCTGATGCTGAGTCCACAGGTGGACTCAAGGTGGACTAAGTCACCTTGTATCTTGTTCAGGAAGCCAGAAATATTTTATACTAATTTCTAAGTCAAAATATGATAGCTTCTTAATGTGGGTTTTGTTTATTTATCTCCAGTTTCTAAGAATTTCCCACTGGGTGTTGTTGAGTTTCCTAGGTAGCGAGTGTGGTGTCATCTGAAAATACTGTCTTTGCCTTGCCAGGGTAGAGAACTCTGACTGAGATTTTTCCTAATTCATGATAGCAATTCCAGAACACTTTAAGGTGATGGTTATACATGTAGTCTATTCTATTGCTCATCATCGAACACAATGCTATTGTTCCAGCGCAGAGATGGGACACAGAACACAGGTAATTTACAGGCGCCAAGTACGATGTGTGTGGAGGTATGCAGGGTACACACAAGGGATAATAGAAAACTATGGTGAATGTTTGCATTTTTTAAAAAAGTGTATTATTAAAAAAGACACATTATTAGGAATGATGGGATAAGAGGAGTATTTTGAGGAGGGTTAATGGTGATATGTCCTTCACTGTCATGAATTTTTGACATTTAAATATACACCATAGTTTTGATCAACCCTTATCGATCAAACATTTATTGCAGTTTCTATCAAACACATGACACTACGCTCTTGCCCACCTTATTCCCCAGACTTGGCACTGTGTAACTTCTGGGAAGACCCTAAAGTCAAAATGACCATAAGAGATCAGCGTTTTTAATCTATTCAGACATCGAGGCAGCCAGGACAGCACAACTGAAGACACTCACGAAAGAAGATTCCAGAACTGCTGCAGAAAATGGCACAAACAATGGGGTATGAGTGTCCAAAGTGAGGGTGAATATTCTGAAGGGAATTAATGACAGTGTGTCCTTTACTGTAACAACATTTTTAAATGTCAAATCTTAACCATATTTTTGATCAACATAGATCAGACCGGGCAGTTGTCTTTTTTGCATTTCTCTGCTCTGTAGGTAACAGGGTTAAATGGCATCAAAGAAGGAGAAAAGGAAGGCTTTATCCTTTCTGCTCTGGAGAAAAACCCAGGCTTTGTCCGTTCTTTGAAGAGAACAAAGAATTCTCTGAGGAAAGTATGGGAGAGTCAGGGTCTTTCTTATCATTTTTAATTTTTTTGTTTCTAGAATTTTCTTTCAATCTTTAGAAATCCAATCTGGACTCAGCAGTGTCTTGAAGCCGCCACAGTTGCCATGTAACACAGTCTCCTCTCTTTATTCTGCTGCAGAGAAAATGATTCTCACATAGACCAGAGACACGCTTGACCACCGCTGATCCACTGAGTGTTTTGCTTGTGGGAAATGACTTTTTTTTTTCAGAATTCTCTTCCAGATAAAATAAAATCACCACCCCCAGCCTTCCTCTTCAGATTATCCAAAAGAACACAGCAGAGCAGAGGTAAGTACCAATCTTTTATCTGAGCTATGACAATTTCAAGATGGCTGACAGCATACTTCCAGCCAGTCACAGAACATTAAGTGACTAGCTACCCTTTTTAATAGGAAAGAAAAGCCAGCCAAGATCTGAAGAAAAAATAAAAGATACAGTAAAAATAGCCTTTTCTACAGCTGGATTTTTAAGAGGGCAGTCAAAACAGTTCGTGCATTTCTTCCTTCATGTTGAGAGATTTGGCCATGTGGGAAACACCAGAGGTCAAGTAACATTATTGGCTGGAAAAGGTTTAGGCAGAGGAATAAAAACCCAACATCTCAATTATAGTACCAGGGTCAAAGTCGAGCTGTGAAAATTCTGAACAACTGCTTTCTATATCAAAGCAGAAAAACGGCAATTTTTATAAGTTGCCTTAGATGGTTTTACTACGGATTCAGCACAACTCTTGTTAATAGCATTAATGATCATAGTTAGAATTATTATGTCATCAATGTTCCCAGTCAATAATCACTAAAATTCCTTAACTGATTGTTTTAGTTATCCCCCAAAAGTGACAGGAAGACCCAAGCCTAGATAACTGGAGGTCTATTATTACACTTTTGGAATACACTGAGCTTGGCAGGACTAACTGGGAGCCTCTTTCAGCCTGTACCTAATTTCACTCAGGTAACCGGCTTCTCCTCATCTTTGAGAGTTTGGCTTTCACCTGACCCCTCACTAACTCACCTGCTAGGAGGGAAATGCCAAGGTCAGGGGCAAATGACTCACTTCATCTTTAAAACCAGGATAAGTCTCAAGTTCCAAGTCTCGAAGACTCTTTCTCCGGTCCTGTACCCCAGTGACGGCGGGGACAGGCTGCTCACTTGGGGCAGCCACGCGCTTGGAAGGGCCACAAGGGTGCTCACTGTGTTGCTCTTGAGGCCACGTTGGAGAATCTTCCATTTTGCATCATTTTTTCCTGTTCCCCTCCCTGGTGCTGACCAATCTGAACCTGCCCCGCCCACAAGCACAAGAAGATGTTTGCGACATACATCTTTAATGTCCATTTTCCCAGCAGGAAACAGAGGCCCAGAGGGTAAAAATGTGCCTTAAGTCCCCCAAGTGGGGATGGAAGCAAAGGCAGAGTCAAATGCCTCACACGTGAACTTGGCCACCAGGTTTGAAGTCACTGAAAGGCGTGACCCGTGTCTCCACTTCCTCTGCATCTCCCTGACTACTTAGGCCAGATCTAGCAGATTCACGACACGTGCTTCTTCAGTGCATGAATAATGTGTACCGATCCATGGCTCTGGGACCAACAGCCGCAGGCTACACAGATGCTGCACCCTGCGGATAGAGAATGCAGCAATTAGCCCATGCTGCTGTGCGGAATGAAGCCGCAGGGCAACTCGTGGGGTTTTTGGAGATGATACAAGACTCTGGTGAGGCTCTGGCCTAACACAGAGCACAGCAATACGCCCTGAAAGAGACAGCAGTTTCTATCCTGCTCATGAGGTACCCGCGTGGGAACAGCCATAACTACCGCTTGGCTCCATCCAGGCTGGCTGTTTCCTAACAGTCTCAACATCTACAGCAAGAGCCTGCAGAGGACCACAGGCTCAGGGTACAGACCCTCCCCCGGGTCCTGGGAGGTCAGGTGGAAGGACACTCAGTGGTAGAAGAGAAGCCACTTGCTAACTTCTGCGGGCAGAGGGAAGGAAGAGCCGGCGCATCTCGCAGCAGGCAAGGAGCAGCCTCGCCTGGTCAGCACAGGAGGCCGCCAGGGTGTGTGGCAGGAGGAGCAGGGGGGCTGGCCCAGCAACGCCAAAGGCCCGATGTGCAGGCAGAGCCAGTGTGTGGCCAAAGACCATGGCATAGGGAAGCTAGGCTGCGCGCCTACGAGAGAAACCCCATCATCTCTTGTCAAAGCCAAGGCTTGTGGATGACCCCAGGGCCCAAATTTGCTGATTTCCAGAAGCAGAGCAGAACGGAGCTCAAAGGAGGCGACTTGGCAACATCCGGCGGGTTGGGTACAAGCGCTCAACCTGCAGGAGCCGAGAAAGGACGCCGCGGGAGGGAAGCGATGCAGGCCTGCGGGAGGCCACATACTAAATAAAAGCCCAGTGTGGACCCTGGCAGAGCAGACTGAGTGCTCGTCCTGACCAGGCAGCTGGCCTGGTGACCAAACAACATTGGCGAGGACTCAGGAAATCCCCGAAGCTTCCCGGATACCGCTGGAGAGCACAATTTGTTTCTCTGCAACCAAGCAGAAGAAGCGTGGAAGGGATTATAATTGGAACACTTATGTGGCCTTGGGGGCTTCCGCTGGCAAGAATGTGAATTTGCAGACCATCAGCTTCCCTGGGAGCAGGTGACATCAGGGTCTGCAGTGCTGCCTGGACCGAGCCTCCCCAGGCTACGAGGACTTTGTTCGTGAGACCTGGACCTTCCAGTTCCAGAACCAGCTGCATGCTGAGCCGGGAAGCATGAATCCTGCTCTTCCCGGTGACTGACCTGAGTCTACACAAACTGCCCATCCTTCAGATATGTACTCTGGCTCCTGTGTGAAGTTCACTGTCCAAGCCTCTAAACTCACCTATGTCCATTCCTAAGCAGCTCACTTCATTTAAAAAACTTTTGTTATTTATTTTTATTGGTACGCATTTGCAGTGTAGAATGATCACATTTACCATGGGGAGGGGGTACAGGTGGGTAACACATCGCAAGTCTGTTTCTTTTAGTTCCCTACCCCTGCTCTCTCCCACTCTGCTCCTTCTCTTAGCCCCTCTCCTATGTACAAAAAGTCTGTTTTCATTTTTTTCGTCCATTGTTCTCCATCCCTTCTCTCCTCCTCCCTCCCCCTCATTCCATTTCTTATTCCCCCATCCATTTTAAAAAGATCTATTTATGGATCTATGTTGCTGTCTCCGTATATACTAAGTTTCTCATATAAGAGGAACTCATGCATCATGAAACAAGTTGGTTTATGTGCTTAAAATATACCCATTTCCTACAACTGACTTATGTTTATCCTTCTTTATGGCACAGTAGTACTCCACGGTATATAAATGTCCCATTTTCCCCATCTGTTCATCTGGTGATGCACACATAGGCAGTTTCCAGGATTTAGCTGTTACAAATTTTACTGCTATATACATGCGTATTCCCCTTCCAGGTATCTTCCTGAAAAAGTTAGTCATCATATTGCAGGGACACACTTCATTTTAAATAGTATTGAAAATCTCCAAAATCATTTTTGAGTGAATGTATCACCCTTGCAGATGAAGGAATAAACATTTCCTTTTGATTTATTTTGTTCTGTCTCTGTTTCACAGAGCAGTATCCTGCAGAAACAGCAGAGGTTTGCTACCTTATTAGCATATCTCCAAGGCCTGACAAATCCAAAGGCTGAAGAGCATATGCTCAAGAGCCAGTCAACCAATCCCCTGGTTTCTCTTCTGCCTCCCGTAATTCACGATTGCTCCTCCCAGTTCCATCTGCATGTCCACTGGCCGCCCCCATGCAGCAAGATGCTACCGAACAAGCGAATGTCTCAAAGAGAAGCCAGCTTTCATTGGAATTAATAACTTTTTCCTATCCTGATCTTCTTTTAAATGTTTCTTTCATTTTCTCTTTGCTTAAAAATAAAACACGTTATAGAACTAAAACAGAGCGCTATGAAGCCACATCTGAGGACCCTGGACTCAGGTCCAATCCTGAGCTCGTCACCACCTGCTGTTTCTAACACTTTTGTTCCATGGCAAACTCAACTCATGACTTCCTTTCTTTAAAGATTTCTTTTATCTTCTTAAAAATCTAATTAGCACATTTTATCTTTCCTAAGAATGTTAAGAGTTTTAGCCATAACAAAAGCAACTCTGAAATCAGCCACAATCTTTTAATATCCTCTCTTAATTCGCAGGAGGAATGAGATCATCAGAGCATCACTGACCCCATGAACAAGACAAGGACATCCCAGCGGAGGCAGAGGAAGGAGCCTGGTGGCTAAAACCCTCTGTGTGCTGAGCACATGGGTCAGTCAATTTCTGGAATGAATGGAGAGGGCTGCAGGAGCCCTTCATCTCTGAGTAAGGACCTTGGGATGCTGGGCCCCAAGGTTTCTGGGTCCCCTCTTCCTCAGTCACCTCCACGTCACCAGAACCCAGTTATAGTGGCCAGATCAGGAATTAAACATCAGCTGGAATGAGGAAAGAATATTATTTTTTCTTCTTGAAGAATTTATGGGTATGAGAACATCTTTTGAGGCTGGGTGTGGTGGGGTACACCTGTAATCCCAGCTGTTTGGGAGGCCGAGGCAGGAAGAAGCCCCAGTATAAGACTGGCCAGCCCAAACAACTCTGAGACTTTGTAAGACCCTGTCTCAAACTTTTAAAAGGGAGAGGGGGCTAGGTGTGTAACCTACTGTTCAACCTCTGGTATGTTAGAAAAAAGTCTCATGAAAGGGAATTAGGTTTCTAGAAAGACAGAGCCAATGGGACGCACAGTCATTATTGGTGTCAATGGGGAATTTGTGGAAAGGTCCCTCCTGAATATTAAAATCTGAATGCTCAAGATTCTGCCTAAGGCATGCAGATGACTTATGCACATCTCCTGTATGCTTTAAATTATCTCTAGATACTAGGACAATTCCTAGTACAATCTAAGTGGTTATGCTTTACTATTTAGGGAATAATGGTAAAAATCTGTATGTCTTCAATACACATCTATTTTTAGAAATTCATAGTTAAACCCACTAGTGTGGAATCTATGGATACAAGGCTATCTGCATGGATACAGATAAGTGAGAGAGGATTTATTAGTTCATGTGATGATGCAGGTTGAGGAGACCTCCAAACACCACCTGCAAGCTGGAGATCAAGAGATACCAGTGTCATAGCTCAGTCCAATTCCAAAAACCTCAGGACCAAGGAAGCCAGTGGTACAGAGATCAGTCCAAGGCAAAAGACCTGAGAGCCTGAGGAGCTGAGTCCAGAGCTTGGAGGATCTGGCAAATAAGAAGGAGAAGAAGAGAAGGAGCAGGAGGAGGAAGATAAGAAGAAGGAGGAGGAGAAGAAGAAGGAGGAGGAAGAGAAGAAGGAGGAGGAGGAGGAGGAGAAGAAGGAGGAGGAGGAGGAGGAGGAGAAGAAGGAGGAGGAGGAGGAGGAGGAGAAGAAGGAGGAGGAGGAGGAGGAGAAGGAGGAGGAGAAAAAGGACATCCTACCTACCACCACAAGAAAGCGAAGCCACCTTGTCTTCACCCTTGACCTGCTCAAGTGGTCAGCCAGTCAGATGATGTCCACCTGGTGGGGAGGGGTGATCGTCCTTAGTACCTCTGCCATATGCCCACATAAAACTGCCCAGAAATAACACTGCATCAGCTGAGTGTCCCTGACTCTAGTCACACTGACCCCTAAAACTAACCACTTAATATGCATTATTAAGTTAACATGTGAAGGAGACCCAATTTTGTTACTATCAAGCACAACTCTGATGTTTATCTGAGAAATCAGTACTGTTTGGTCACTTTTAAAGAAAACATTTAAAACAATAGGACTCTCTCATCACCTCTTTCCGATTTTATCCCCTGAAGACTGAGCTACTGCCCATTAGTTAGTGAGCTTTGGGTTCTAAAAGGTGAAGTTGGATTCAGCTGGGATTTCCCACCAACAGAGGTCACTTGGGGGATAAAACAAGACTTCAGAACGCAGCTGTCAACCCACCACCACTCTCATGGAGGACAGCGCCTCGTCCTGCAGGATCTCACAGCTTTCCTGGCGCTGAGTCTCAGAGGATTTGCCCGGGTCTTACCCACATTCCAGGTGAGCTCGGCTGTCTCTGCACTGGCAGCTCCTCTAGTCCACCTTTCCCAGCCCAAGCCCTGCTCTGTGCCAGGCGGACACTTATCTCTGTACGTGCTGGGGCATCTCGGATGCATCTCAAAACTGAACCCATCTCATCCCACCTGCCCCCATGTGTGGCTCATCCTGCCTCTTCCATCGCAGTGAAGGAGCCTGAAAACTGGAACCATCCCCGGCTTTGCCCACAGCCCATCCACACACCGTCAAACCCTGCGCTTTCCCTCTGCAGGTCGCTCTCGGATCCATGCACACACTGCAGGGTCCCGGCAAGCTCTCTCCAAAGGACATCGCGAATCAGCTGTCTCACATGTTTCCAACGCCACCTCACCTCCCCTACTAGGGAACAGACAGTCATCTCCCAGCACTCCATGGAGAGCAACCAGGGCAAAGCCTCCTCACTGCTGGTCTCCAAATAGAGGCCATTTCCCGCAGAGCCCTTGCTGGGGTCTCCCATGCAAGTGACCCCCCATTTTTGTTTAAAGCATCATG